GTGTGTGTGTGTGTGTGTGTGTGTGTATGTGTGTGACGTATTGATATAAATTATTCCCTATATCTGCATAAAACGAAATATAGAGCAATTATAGTTACTATGTAATTGAACAATGATATTGTACAAACAGTACATTTGAACCTACACGTCGACTGATGTGTACTGAGAATTGCGGATAAAAAATATCTTACAAGTAGCGCCGATCTTGAGTTTGATAACATCAACACAAACGGTACATACCTAGTCTGTCCTCGAGTTGTTTTCCAGTCCACTTCACACTCGGAGTGATCGTTGTTCTGCCTTCTAGCCTGTCTCTAGTTTTCTCAATCTCACTAAGTTTTAATTCGGGGAATGGGTCACAGGCAGCGGTCATCTTTGCGCAATATATCCTTGACTTTATATGATTGTACAGATCAACTCTACCAATGTGATATACTCTGCCTCGAGTTGCGAAGTTCCGCATTCACTCTCTTTATACTTATGTGCGCTGGCCGCTGCATGAAATACGAGGAATACTAAATATATTGTGTATATATATATATGTATGTATTTCTTTAAAAAATAGCACTGCTCACGAGTTGAGACTTGCGACTTGTGAGATGGGACTCACACGACTACTTATTTTAATATAGGCCACGTCCACACTCCAATTTCTGAGAGTGACACTCCGCACTGCCGTCTACAGTGACAGTCTGCACTCTGCCCCGTGAGATTTCTGATTTTTCCTTTTTCCTTTTTTACTTTGTAGCCTCTGGGGCCTCTGAGGAGTCTGAAGCTTCAGTGATAGTCCCGCCTTCAGAGTCAGATTCTGGCGGACGTCCATATTTGGTAAAACAAAATCCCCAATATGGGAAATTAATAGAATACGCGGGCACCACAACCCCAATCATAGATGGTAGTCACGAGTCACGACTCTCCAAACGAGTCCATTCCAAAGTGGACATCTTCCACCGGCACGCTACTTTAAGGTATGTATGTGACCCTGTGACGTTCCTGCATTGACGTTCCTGCACTACTATATGATAAATGTAGAGAACAGCTAATACGATATACAAAACGTTAAAACAACGTTGGGCATTTTTCTTCTGTTATATGGATATATTTAATGTGATAAGAATATAAAACGTTGAAAGATAAAGTAAAGACATCTTTCGCAAACTTCCAAATCAAATCAAGGATATCAGCAGCAGTGTGTGGCAGATACGAAATATAGAGAAGTTTTTCACTGTTTAAACTTCTGTCTTTTACAAGAAATCCCTCCTGTGTGAGATAAATGCGAATCCCCGAAATTCAGGAAAGTCGCGTAGCAGAACTCGATCTTGATCGGTGTGACACTGGCCATTTCTATGTACTCCACTTCGGAACGATAGCTAGATCTTATTTCAACTGGCTGTTTTCATAAACTGCCCATCGTAAAGGATAGCGTTACCATCAACGTTGGTATTGTCTGATACCACTTTCAAATCTCCATTATCCAAGAGAGTCACATAGAATTGCATCTTAACTGCTGCGTTAGTGTGTACTGGAGTGGTATTTTTTTTCGGAAATTACAGCCAGTCCTACAGGTGTCATGACTCCATGTACAAGTTGAGATCCAGTCACCAACGGTAAACCGGTATCGTCATCCATCTGAACACTAGTCCAAAAATTAGTGCCGTAGATGAGACAACCGTTCTGCTCAAGTGACCAGATGTGTGAGTACTTGGGGGTTATCGGCTGAACAGATATTTGATTTACCGTGGAGGGTTCAGATAGTTCGAATACTGTGGGTTTCGTCGATGTCCAATCGCCTGAGATATTCTCGCACGGAGATACAGCAGCGCTCTCTGTATTGTAGGTCAACGCGGCGATGAAGGCGAATAGGAAGTTTTTCTTCATTGCGTGGCAAATTATTGTAGAAGAAGGAATATTTATTATGTGCGTATCTTTTCGGAGATAAACATATATACTCGAGTTTAATGTGTCATCGCGTAGTCTGTTTTATGTGCACAGGTCGCAATTTTAGTCTAGAATTTTCTTTAATACGATATCTTAATATATTGCAAGCGATAAAATCAACTAGGCCTGTCACTTGTACATGACCTTAGCTAATTCTGCCTGGAGAGATGCCCGAGTCTCTGAGAGGGGTACCGTGAGAGGTGAATCTTACTGCTTTTTCCACAGTCACACAGGCTATAGCCCACAGGCCACAGTGTTATTCCTGTTAATTTTAAAAATCATACCAGATCACTGAGATCAGCCACAACTCCGTAGGTGTTTTTAATATATATTTTAAACTAAATTAAAAAACCAAAAAGTTTGATTTGTTTAGAAAAACTGTAAATATCAACCATATTTTTTTAAATCCAGACAAAATCATCCAGAGAAGGCAAATCAAACATGTGTATGCTTTAATTTAGAAGGCTATTTAGAAGTCTGAATATTCAGAAGGCCATGAAAAAAAGGTATTTTCTATAGCAAACACAAAACACCAAGTACATATTATATATTTTATGCCATAGTTTCATAGTCTGTATTTTTGTTTTTGTTTTTGAAAACAAAACACAAAAAGCCCAAAAACAAACAATAAACAACAAATATTTACTATTTAAAATAAAACATGTATTCAATATTATATATATATATATATATATATATATATACTGTTGTTTTAATATTTAAAAAAAACCCCCGAAAATAGTTTATCTATTTGTTTTGGGGGGGCGGGAACCTAAAAAGGTGCTACTATGCTTTTCATTGGTTTAAAATAAGTGTAATAACTGCCATGTCTTGAAATATTATAAAATAAGCTTATGCTATGGTGCAGCCATATTATGCGTGGAGTCCGTGACTCCGTGGACCGTGTAACTTACGATTGAGCGTATAGAACGTAAATATGCCATAAATAGCGCAATAGGGTTTACTACGTGGTTTCGACTTTCGTGTCAAATTTACTCCTTAAGAACCCTATAGAGATGCCGTTGCGACGACTATTTTTCACAGAACATACGCAGATGTAAAGGCCTAGTAGTTCCCTTTCGGGAGTTCAGGCTTCAGACTGCCCTGGATTCAAGTCCATTGTTCCACTTTCTAATCGTCGCATACATACTGTTGAGTCGTGCAGGTTTCTGGACTGAGAATAGGAAGCTGCGAGGTTTGCATATGGATCACACGGATAGATGTCTGTCTGACGTAAAGATGCGTAGCTGCTGAGACTTCCAGTAGTCTATAGAATCTCCCGGAGTGACGGAGCTGCGCTTTAAATTTGAAACTAGCTACCTTATTTAAATTTGCCAGTTATCTTTTGCCGTCTCATACGATCAATGGTCGTGTCTGCTACTACTTCAGTTTGATGAATATATAGCTATACCTCTTGTTGATCTTTGCAATCCTAAAACTCTCTCGTCCGTACAATACAGCGACGGCAAATTTGTAGTTTCATAAATGTATAGTATCATGCAAATATCGAACCTTTATCGACTTGAGTGATGGCTATACTCCTTGTCAGCCAAATTGAACTATCCTCAGATCTTCACTAGAGATCGTACTACTAGCGCAGCGGCTTGATGTCTGTTGTGCTCTTCTGACCTCATATAGATGAATAACGGCACCGTCATCAGACCGCCCGTGCAGATACTTTGCTATATTTCGAGTGTTGTAAATAGTGTCGTCACCTCGACAGCACTCCAGAACTGAATGCAAAATTGTTGGTCGCAGCTACTATATAGGACGCAGAAAGCATATGTAGCGCATCAGATTGCGGCTGAATCTCAAAGTGGCCGTGTCCCATTGGCTACACCCAGTGTGGCACTACATTTAGCCTTTCATCTTGAGAATGCCAAGTATGGCTTTGATTATTATCACCCTACACAGTTGCTCACACAAACACTAATATACATATGAAATATCTATACAAGTACACTCTAAAATATACACCATTGAGGAATGTATTGGTCGGGAATACGGTTCCATCCATAGCCTTCCAAAAGACGAGAAGGCTATGTTCCAGCCCTACCATTGAGTTTTATATATTATTTTGTAGAACCATTATATAACATCTGGGGCCGTCTTGTGCGACTTCAATCGTCCGAAGCTCCTTATAAAGGACCAGAGACCGCCTCCTAACAAGTTAGTTAGCATTTATTGACTTTTCAGGCGCTACTAAATTTCCAAAGCACGTCTTAAAAACACCTTGAAAGCTCTTTACTATTATCTGGCAGTTCAACCCCTAGAAATCGCTTGCTAATAATGTTATATACACGCCAAATACTGCTGATTGAACGCCGATTTTTTTTTAAACACCGATCACTTCACCATTCTCGCCAGTTTCTTCCTCTTCCACCTCATCTTCGTTCTCGATTTCCTCCTGCAGTTTCTGTTCCTCAAGTTCGTTGATGGCCCGTGCCTGACCGAATAGAAGCAACGAATATTAAATACGATGTAATTGTGACATAATAAAGCACCATGAAATCCAAGAGGCAAGTAGCCGAGGACACTCAAGCACATACATACAAGGCTACTTTGTAGTCTTGTATACTCTTAAGGAGTCTCATATACTCGGATAAACATCAATATATGTATGCATGCAAGATACTTCCCCGCAATGTACTCGCATGTGATAAGGTGGGGGATGTCGATTCATGATACATAAAATGATCGGTGAATACCATACTCGCGCATAGTTCATAAGCTTCGCACGGATACTACAACACATATACGACTTCCACCACACATGTATACCTCTTTGATGACACTGAGTGATCCACCGTTGGTCGCAATGCGGTCTTTGATCGCGTCCACCGCCTTGTTCACGGCCTTAATACCCTCATCCTTATCAGTCGACATGGTAGTCACGGCGTATAAGGGAGGTGCTATTAAGTTGACCTTGACAGGCGCTGCTTCGGTGCCTACAGCGATACCGGCTCTAAGCGCATCCTTAACGGCCTCTACGCCTTCGGATGTCCAACAGTGCACATCGATATCTGCACGGATCTTAAAATAGATGAGGTTGTAGAACGAAGGAGATGAGTGGTTGAATTGTATGGGTCAAGAGTGGCATACAATTACGGATAACAAACAAACACCCAAGTATATGCATATATATATATATATATATATTCTAACAGTCCACTTATAGAAATATGAACATTGATTGATCGCTTAATGGACATTTACAAGAGTCAAGTCCACAAACATATTCAAAGTCGATATGAACTAATCCGCATATCTACCGGACAATGATACGACTAGCTAAGATGTGTATGCCGACACAGCTATGCGTATAAGCGGGTAAAATGATACAGACTAGGTGATCACTTTCCGTACTGTGCATAACGTGAACAAATTGCTCACTATATCTTAAGCAACAAACATACATACAAGTATCCATATATACATGATTGCAATTGTTTTACCTACCTTGGAGGGTTGTGACGCCAATCGGCGGGAAATCTGTTGTAGCAAACACGCACTGGTCTTCTCGTCCAAGTCAAGCTTGCCCATAACCTCTTCCGGCTCGCTGCAGATGTGTACAATACAGAGCATTAGGAACGTTTAGGTGCGAACAGTCATTGAATTAAAGCGTATTACACAAACATAACCAAGTATTCATTCCGTACTTATTGAATAAAACCGCCCTCAAGCCCTTGTGCGTTGACACAATATCGTCCAGAATAGCGATATTTGTTCAATAGATGACGCAGCAGGAGACATTAAGATACCACGCTTATCAACGGTTAATGCAAAAAGTCATACTGAAAAATCACTACGCACATACGCATGCGTGAGCACATGCATACACCCGTATATACGTGGCCCATACAAACGACAAAATCATGTGCGAGGATAGGAGTATGAACATACGAAATTGGAATAGGTACACAACGCTTACATATATATATACAAAACACCACGCACAGCTAGTGTCCGACTACAGGGAATGTGGTGCTCGCCTGTGCCGTGACCTCGGCCCTAGCACCGGCCACTGCACCGGAAGAGAGTGCAGCCTACAAAGAATAACACTAAAGGACGCTCACCTATGTACATCTTTCTCGAACCTCTACTGTTTCATGCTATATACTGATATACATATATGAAAAAAAACATACACATGTATGTAAAACCATGATGCAAATAGTTGGACACATCAGCATTAAGTAGAGCGCCTGCGACATGTATTTGAGTAGGACGTTCGACAACAGAAAAATATGGTGCCGTCTGTACTGTAAAACCAGTTCCTGTACACGTCACCGCACCAACAAAAAATGTGACCCAGAAAACATACTTTAATTGTTCAAATAGGACCGTTCTAAAGCATTTACAGGTGCCACAATCACTCCCGGTATAGTTACGGTTTCAAAGGAAATGATAGTGCAAGCGACACCACGTTTGGCCATAATCATCGTCTGGTTTCTAAGCGATCACGATATATACCTTTTTGACGATAAGCAAATACATTCATGTATATAAACCACAATACGAGTGAAGTAATTTCCGGCATATACAGTATGGACAACAAGCATATGCAAGCACAAATATAGTACGTACTCTCAGGTATACTCAGTATTGAACATATGTACATCGATAGATGCTAGGTGTAGACCATATTTCCACATATAACAACACTTTCAGGGTATGGTGGTAAAATGCCCGTTGGAGAAAAAACATTGAGACATTTAACACAATCGCATACAGAATGCGCTATAACTAAATACTAATACAATCACGCTCTCAGGCACTTACGTCAATGCTTTTCGGAAAGCCTCGTACTGTGTACCATACGCCGCCACCAATTTCCAAGCTGTGCGTTCGTATAAATCTTCAAGTTTGGCATCGCATAATTCGGCCACGTGTCTGAGAATGCTATTCACCTGTCGTTGCATATGCAGATTGAATGAATAATCAACATATACTCTACAATATTGGTTGACATATTTTTAGATACTAGCTATGGGTATACTTGACTACATATCAAGAGAGTGCAGAATCGTCACTAGCATGTGAATCCGACTAGTCCGAAAAAGCACAGTTCGGGTCTGAAAGGACTTGCTAGAATTCCCACCTACAAACTCCCTCTTCATAGAAATTACGGATAGATATGTGTGTATACTTGCATACGCGTGTATATATTTACTTGCATATACGTTTATGTGTATTTATACACATCGACGTAAAATTACACAGTTATATATTCGTCTTCCACTTCAACCAGATTCGATATGGAAACACAAACGGCCACAGATAGGTCAACAAAGTATAGGAACTCGCAAGCACTACAATTGTGTGTATATCGATTGCATCACGGTTCCTTCGTATACGCAACCATCTATGTGTGGATCTATCTGCACAGCACCCTCAGACTAACACGTTGCAAACGCGGGCACCATGTCAGTATGCGCTCAATTCACATACCGCTTTATTCTTCTGGTATTTGTCATCACAAGCCTTGACATCCTCTGGACTGACACGACGCTTTGACAAATCAATATAACCTGCAATCGATCGAATGCCGATCAAATAACGGATTTAATATACGTGATTTTTTTGCTTGTAGATATAGCCGACCAACAAACTGCACGTATGCGTCAAGAGCCAAAGCGTTCAGATACATAAAGTGGAGGGAAGGAGGTAACAATACCCAGAAACGGTATACGATAATAATTTATTCACTATTAGTCGTAAAGTTGTTTGATTTCAGGAGCACAAAACAAGCACTCCCTACCATATGCACAGATAACCATTGCAGATTGGACAAGGGTGTATTTTACGCCTGATGGAAATAGAGCACCGGAGACAGTTCTATACATATCGAGCACAGCGCTATCTATGACTATAATAAACAATCATGTTTTGGGAAAATATTGTTGTCTAATTCGACTGTGAACCGCAGTATTAAAACAACATGCACGTCCAAAAATGAAATCAACCCAAATATGCTCATGGCCGGAACCCTGAACAACCACACCGCCAGTACCACCAATAAAAAAATCATTCAGAGCAGCAAGACGCCATTCTCAAGAGTACAAGTAAGAATGTCTAGTCTGGTTGTAAATGCACACAATAAGAACCAAATACACACAAATGTATCTATACCTATACTTATATATATATATATATATTATAGACGTTATATATAAATATATATTCAATATATCAATATAAATATATACAGATAAAAATACGCACACATACCACAAGCATATGCATATACATATACATATGCTCGCACACAGTACAGAATAAATATATATATATGTGTGTGTGTTTGTGTAGTATATTATATATATATATATACGATATGTACATGCATATACATACATATACATTTATATTTCATTTATATATGCGTGTACTTGTATAAGTATGCATATATATATATATGTATATATATATATATATATATATATATATATATATATAATATATATATACTATATATATATATATATATATATATATATATATANATATATATATATATATNATATATA